ATATATCTTTTATTGCTACCATTTCGCGTAACAAGAAACACACATTGTATACTCTACGCTCCCCAATAGCATTTTATCATCTGTGCGAAAGAACTTAGTTGTGCCATCATGAGGTCTTACACAGTCAAGGAAACAACATGTTTTTGTCAAAGGCGGCGTGCAAGTGGAACAATTTAGCAATTATTTCCCCTATAACAATAAGACAAAGAATAAAATCAATAAAAGAGATCTTATTCCTAATTCCTGCAATAGTGACATCGTTTCTATTTCAATACAAAGGACCTGTTTCGATTGAATTTGTTGATAGATTTAAGTATGCAGATCCGTAGAAGTTGCTTCAGATAGTCTCACATAATAAATGATGATCCGTACAAGTGTAGGGAACTTTATCGAGAATAAAAAATAAGATGACTATATAATAAATACCGAGGCCTGCTAGAACATAGTGTCTCTTTTTTTTTTTTTGGGTACAATGAGAGGAGATAACTCGCGAGAGGCTAAATGCAAACGTTCCATGGGTAAGAGACACCTCTTGCGTTATGCTCAAGCCACGGAACGATACCAGTGGGTGGGGCCGGAAGCCAATGGAAACCGAGGCCGCGTGAGATGCTAAGTAGTCCGCAACAAAATTCACCTCACGAAAAATGTGAGAAATCTTAACCTGTCAGTTTCGACTGAGAAGCTCTCTTATCCCTATGGTCAAACCCGAATGGACCCATTCAATATTCTCACAATTATTTGCGAAACTCACGACGCTAGAGTTGTCGAACTCGGTGGAGGTTCCCATCGGACAAGGCGTTGCACACGAGATGACCATATACCAATCTTCTTAGCCCCTTCGGTGAAATGTAAAACGGCGTTGCTGTTGTAACTAATATCCAGAAGAAGCTGAAGTGTGCAGAGCGGTTCGGCATGCTGGTGCAGATGAAGGAGGAGGAAAAGCGTAGTTCCCGATTTGCGTAGTATGTTTATCCCATTTCAGAATTGTTTATATGTTGTTTATCTTATGTATAACTATACGGTTAATATTACAAAACTATCATATCGTGTTTATCTGATGTATATATACAGTATATCTGAACATCTTTTTTTTGTAAATCCCTTTTTTTTTTTTCGCTCGCGATAAAAAATAAAACACTGATGATAATCTTCTTCTCCTTTTCGTTTGAATTTTTGAAAATCTCATAGAAACATGGTAAGGATCACCTTTGTTCTATTTTCATTTTCTTTAATGTAAAAAATTGTTTTGATTTGCGTGAATCAAGATCTTATTAAAATGAGTGCATAAGTTTTGGAAGGTAACTGACGATCGGATATTTATTAATGTTTATCCACAAATGTTCATTTTTTATAAAACTTTCTTACTCACGTATATTTAATAATAAGTCTTATATAAAGTATAGGTATCTAAATTTTCCTTTTACTTTCTTCTTAGATGGTGTAAGGTTCAATTTTTTTTTTCAAAGTGATGAGCTCAGGGACCTTTTAAAATCGATGGTACCCTTTGGCAGAAAAATGTACCTTTTTTACAGTAGACACTCTTTGAAAGATACCGTTTGGAGAAACGGTGCGATGTCTGGTTATTAAATCTGTCCATCAAAGAATTAATATCAATCGTCCGAAATGTTTGGATTAAGGAGATTAACAATATTTGTACCCCTTATAAATAGGAACATGTAGAGCACTTTAAATTATCTTGTTTATACATAATACAAGATAATTGAGAAAATAAAATGCAAACATTCAGACGTGCACATCGTGCTCTATGCTTCGATATTTTATAGTTGAATTACCCATGTTGGTTCATCTACACTTGCTGTGAGCTTCACTTTTCTTTTGTAAGTTTTATTTTCAAGAAACAGGATTTCAATCTATATGTCAAAGTGATAGATTGTAAGAAAATTAGTTTTTTCATTAATAGGAAATAAAATTATTTACCATACTTGTGTTTTTTTAAATATTTAACATTGAATTAATATTTGAAGAGAAATAAAAGATCTCTATCTTGATATTTCATGTCTTATATATTCTTTTACTATATATACTGATTTTACTTGTAGAAAAAGATTTTTATTTTGAAGATAAAAAAGAACACAAGGAGGAAATTTTGAAGCTAAAAAACGTGTGATCGAAAGATGGAAAAATTGAGTAAGAAAGGAAAGAAATCGAGAATAATATATTTTCAAAAGTTGGCAAGGAAACAAATTGAAGAAGGTTCCATTATATTCAATGAAGAGAATTCGGGAGATTTCTAGAGAATCTATCTATGATATTCATGCATGGTGACTCGTAAGACATAAGGTTTTGGTTTCTAAAGAAGAACAAGAAGATCATGAAGATTTGTAGTCTCATGATTTCTGATGAACCTATATACCGTTTATATTTTTGTATATATTCTAATTTCATGTGTTCTGGCCATAGAGCGAGTTATTACATTATTCATAATGAGTGTTTAGAAAATTTTTGTAGAGATATCATGATGTTTGTTTAGATTATTTAACTAGAGATCGGATTCCCGTGTGTAAGTTTATAGCGAGGAATTCAAACGATACTTTTGTTTTTCCACCAGGTGCTTGGGAGGAATTGTCGCACTGCTTGGACGGATCTGTACATGCAATCTAAGGCCACGTTTTCGCTGAGAAAAATAGTTAGGTAGATAGAGTGCAAAATAGGTTAGGGAGAATCTTAGTAAGTTCTATTTGTATTTGTTGGTTAGGTATTTACTTAGTGAAAGAGTTTCAACACGGAGTGATACTCGAAAAAGTTAGTTTTTAGTTATCGAATATCAAAATTTATATTAACCAACATTGTTTTTTATACACCAACAAATATTGTAATCCCTCTAAATTTTATTTAGTTACAAGATAAAATTGAATTATAAAAAAAATGATTGACATAAGTTAGATGGATTATTTTATCTAACATGTATGGGGATATATATCTTCCTTTTTTTACTTCAGAATCTTAACTTTATTACAATGAGGGATTTGAGTCGTTTTTTTTATTCATTGATCACTCTACATCTCTACCGCACCTACAACATCCCCCTACATATAATTGTAGAATGCGCTGAGCCTAAGTGGCAGCTTCGCACGCTTCGTAATCCTACTTGGCGAAAAAACATGCTTTGTAGTTTGATTTAGATAAAAAATAATATTTTTCTAAATCAATAATTTCAGGTTCAGACATTCCAAATATATTGAAAAACTAACTTGGTAATTCCATAATAGTTTGACTAATATAACCCTTAAGTTGTATGGAAACCTCTTGTAATGATACTGATTGACTAATATAATATTGATTTGTTTTAGAAGTTCTCAATCGGCTAATTAATTTCCATGAAAACCTCAAATTAGCCTAATAAATAAATATATTTAATTTTAAACAATTGTTGTTATTATTATTAAATTTTAAAAATAATTTTCTTAACAAGTATCCGTGTAGTACACGAGTAATGTACTAGTATATAGGATTTGTGAATATTAGAACTTTGGATGAGATCATTGAACATATAACAAACATGGTGCATTCCTAAGGTGTGATTGCATATAAACTTTTTTTTTTCTTTTTTTTTTTCTCACACTGATTGGATATAAACTTGACCAGTAAAAAATCAATCAAATTCTCGATATTTTTAATATAATTAAATAATATCAATCAATCATTCTTACACATTACATTAACTTTAATTTACTATTCATCCACTCACATAATTTTAACTAACCATCACTTCCAATCATTTTTCTCCTAATTTACATCAAATCAACTTTAATTATTTTATTTTAAATATTATTTCGCTAAACCCTCCTTTATGATATTCAAATCATGACCCACGTGCTTCAAAGTCCCTCCTTACTTTTTCCAAAATCACTCATGCAACTAGAAATTTAAGATTCCTCTCCTATATGAAATCATTCCGAACCTCCCTTTCCTCAAACCCTACTTCATAAAATCCAAATTAAATCATAATGAGGTGCTTCAAAAGACTCTTTAATTTCCACTTATGCCCTTCTGGAGCTCTCTCTATAAATCAAACAACGATCTCATAAGTCCTAACCATCCCTGACTGTGACACAGTACACATATATCTCCCCATCTTCAACAATACTGCAAAATTAAGGGAAAAAAAAAAAAAATGAAATCCGACAAAGGCGCATGGCTTGCAGTGGCTATTTATGTGGTTCTCCTTGCTATGTTCTTTGGAAAAATCGATGAGGTGGCAAGTTACGCCGGCAGTTCATGTCCAGTTTCCTCCATTACTAGCGTAAAAAATCTCGACAAATATACCGAGCTAACACCACCCGAGGGGTGCTGCAAAGCCATTAAAAAGATGAACACTAGTGACCTTTGCAATCTCATCAACCAAACCTCCATTATTGTGAAGAACATTACAAAGGCAGTCTATAAAAACTGTACTCATCACGCTCTCCGGTGCCAAGACTCGTTGCCCGCACCTCATCCCGTCTCCCCTATGTCTTAAAGTGTCGTGTTCTGTGTCAAACTTCTAGTTATGTCGTGATAAATAAAATCGTGCTTCGATTATAATAAAGGTCAATAAATATTGTTATTTGTGTGTTTGTGTTTATTATTTATCTCTATCTCAACGGCTCATGAAGAATTTGATTCTCTTCGACAAGCGAAAATCACGATTCACGCCGGTGTGAAGAATTTACGACTCCGATTAACATCGAGGCTCTAGCCAAGCATTGACGAGACAGCGGCTCGACTCTTAATTTGAGATACACCTATATTAATATCCCATCACTAATTTTTTTTAAAAAAATAGATTAGGTAGAAATAAAATAATTTATTAAAAAGTTTAATCAATATATTTAGATTAAATATTGATATCACATTACCAAAAATTAAACTAAAACTCTCATCATGGGTCCACCTCTTCCACCGCCATCGATGGTGCTGCTCTGGCTGGGGCTGTGGGCAGCGGCAACGGCGGCGGCCTCGGAACTTCCGGGCAGCGGCGTAGTAGGTACGCGCCGCCTCCTCGGTGGTCTCGAGGGTGCCGATCCAGAGGCGGCTCTTCTTGCCGGGGGCGTAGCACCGCCTCCTCGGCGATTTTTTTATGATATGATTTGATAAGACAATATGGTTACGANTTTTTATTATTATTATTATTTTCAGTTTTGTATAACAGTGCATATATTCAGATTTATCCTTTATTATCACTTATTAATCTGCAATAGGTTCTAAACTTCAAATGCTAGCAAATTATGGTGTCCTGAGCTGCTTATGTATGTGTCTGTGTATGGTGTAATATAAAAGAGTTTATAGTGAAATATAAGTGTGGACTGGATGCACTTGTTCTACAACTTTCATTCACTCGTTCATAGTGACCCAATTGAAATTAAATGTTTGACTGTTAAATAACAACTGACGAGAATTGTTATGTTTTTATGTGATCCAATTTTCTTTATACAGAGTAGGTACTAACTACTATAAACGAATACTAATATTGCATAAGGTTGGTACTAATGTGAAAAAAAACTGGTATCAATTCATAAAAAACAACTTCCTTAAAACTTTCATATCATTTTTTTTTTCTTTCTACGTTGGAGGTACTAACTATAAAATGAGTATTAATATTGCATAAGGTTGGTACTAATGCGAAGAAAAATTGGTATCAGTTTAAAAAAGAACTTAAAACTTTCACATCATATTTTTTTTTTTCTTTCTATAGAGTAAGTACTAACTACTATAAAACGAGTACTCATATTGCATAAAGTTGATACTAGTATTGCATAAGATTGGTACAAACGTAAAAAAAAAAACTGAATTCGGTAGGCAAACTGAAAGCAAAATGAATAAATAAATAAATAACAGAGCTCTTTGTGGTTTATCCCCAATTGACGAAATATCGAATAATTACGTTGTTCTAAAACATGAAATCGATGAACACTAGAAGAAGAAGCTTTCAGAACTCAATCAGATGACATTAACTGTGCACACTTGTATAAAATATTCAAAAAACCTCCATGAAATGCATGTACAACAAGAATGGGCACACCACCTCCAACCTACATCCATCAAAGTTTCCATTGTGTAATACCAGACCAAGAAATGCATATATTGTTTCCCAACAGACCAATTATCCATTCGGTTGGTTGCAGCCAATGCATTCATTTTCAAAATTAGTACCAGACCTAGAGTAAGATAGTACTGATATTATGGTGTTCTAGTATCAGATATCGGGTCTTCAGTACCAACTTCGACGAACATAAAAAAAATAAAAATAAAATACCAAATTTTGTAAAATAGTACCAGTTTTACCACAAATAATACCACTTCTTCTTCTATGTTGTACCGATTATTGATCAATTAGTACCTACTTTGTAGAAAGCACAAAAAATGGAATTTTTTACAGAAATAAAAATAATAAAAATTAACTAGACAAAAACAAAACAAAACAAAAAAATGTAGACAAAAGTAAAAAGGGCGTATTTTGAGAATACGGTTTAAAGTGTAAAAGAATACGTTTTACAGTAAAATCAGCATAAAACGTATTCACATAATACGTTTTAAAAAAAATTAATAAATAAAACGTATTATCAAAATACGTTTTACAAATAATTAAGAACTAAAATATAATTAAAAACTAAAACGTATTATCAAAATACGTTTTAATTTTTAATTATTTGTAAAACGTATTTGGGTAAAACATTTTATAAATAATAAATAAATAAAACGTATTATGAAAATACGTTTTATATTTTAAAATTAATGAAAAAAATTAATATGTAGTATGTATTTTGTATTTTGGGCTCGTTTGGGCTCGTCTGAACTCGAAATTGAGTTCCGTTTTTTCCTATACATAGCTAACGAACCCCTCTATTCAATGATGCATGCATGACCAAATTATTCTTTAAATCATATTCTACAAAGCTCTTGACCTACACATTAAACGTGGTTCGCGCGACTTTGCCGTTTGGGCCCGTTCGGACTCTTCCAAGCTCGAAATTAATTTCCGCTTCTTCCTATATGTCGCCAACGAATCCATCTACGCAACCATGTTTGCCCCATCAATTTTCGGGCTAAATCTATTCCTTACAGGATAAATAATTAACAAATCACCCATTCTTTCATTTTTTCCAACAAGTAATTGCCGTTTTCGTGGGCCCCGCAGGGTCACGTTGCATTCCGCTTTACCAAAAAAGAAGCCGGGACGTGCAGACCATTCCCGCACGATGTCATTCGAGCCATTAATCGAGTATTTTGAAGTGTTCCGGGAAGAAAATGGACAACAGATATTTTTTTTTCTATTCCGTCATTACCGGTGAGCTTCACTTCATGCGGCGACTTCGGGTACCTTGATGACCCTCGTTTAGCCTCATGAGGAATAGATTTAACCCAAAAATTTACCGGACAGTCATGGTTGTGTGGATGGGTTCGTTGACGACATATAGAAAGAAGCGGAACTCAATTTTGAGTTTGGACGAGTCCGAACGGGCCTAAAAATCAAACTCGCACGAAACACGTTTAATGTGTAGGTCAAGAGCTTTGGGAGAATATGATTTCAAGAATAATTTGGTCATGCATGCATTATTGAATAGAGGGGTTCGTTAGCTACGTATAGGAAAAAACGGAACTCAATTTCGAGCTTAGACGAGTCCGAACGGGCGTTGTTGTCGTTCGCGGTCACGACGTTTTCTACCTCCACCAATGTTGGCAGCGGGTTGATGCCTCGCCCTGTGTGACTGGGTATTATGGGATGGGATGTAGTCCTCCTCGGATAGAACTTGACTGAACGACGCCCCTTGTGTGACCTCTTGGCCTCCAACAGTCAGAGAACTATTGGCAATGTTGTAGGATTGTTGGTCACGTATAGAGGCAATGTTGTACGACTGTTGGAATGCGACTTGCGACCGTGGAGGGAGTGAAGGAAATGTGTTCAATATTCGCTAACGAGTTATAAACCCCTCCAAGGCTTGAGTTTGAAAATAAAATTTAAAGTAATTAGTATGAAACACACAAAAAAAGGAATAATAGAAAAATCACAAATTTTGAACACTTACATCTCACTTCTCCCGCTCGGTAACTGTCTGATAGCCGTTGTCCTGTTGGACCACCGTGTACTTGGTAAGTCACTGATAAGTCTCACATTCCTAGTGTAAAACCAATCAATGTAACTCTCCTCAGTCTGTAGGAATTGATCCGCAGGGGCATCTTGGAGGATATTTTGTTCTATTTCATCGACTCAACCCTTGGTAAGTTGTGAATGAAAGGCGGCCCGATCACAAAATGCCCTCCCAGTCATTCCACGACCTCTGTGGTGTGTCTCCCGTTCTTGCTCACCACTAATCATCGGATTTTGGGGGATAGACTGTTGACACCCACACTGACGGAGAACCTTATCAGACAAGTGGACTTCACGTATGTTCCAACAAAAGATCCACCCCCTATACATTCAAATATGTTGATCTTTTGTGCACTCATCCTGGATAGTACCATCCTCCGGGTACTGTTCCTAGGGCACCCAATCGAAGTTGTAGAATATTTGACAACCTTTGTTGAAGTGATATAAAAAGGGAGGATACTTCTCACCTCTATATCAAAATATTTGGCAGCCATTAAAAGGTTATCAAAGAAGATGATGCTAGTTCCTCCATACAGTAAGTTGACTTACAACATGGATATTATGAGGGAAATTGACAACTTTAGGACTACCAAGAACACATATGGTTTTTATAGGTTGAAGAACCTTAGTAGCATGAGAAGATTCAGAAACCTCCATTTTGAAGTGGAGAGATACTTGATCATAAGGAATGGTCGACTTATTTAAAGAGAAAGTTTAGGAAGAGATAAGTATTATATTGTTGCACTCGGACGCTCGAACTCGGCAAGTTAACTCATGCTTTCTCAAAAGTACTCTCGCTAATGCTCGGCCCGCTTAACGAGGGTCAACGGGGTACCCGAAGTCGCCGCATGAAATGAAGCTCGCCGGTAATGACGGAATAGAAAAAAAAAATATGTATTGTCCGTTTTCTTCCCGAAAGACTTCAAAATACTCGATTAATGGCTCGAATGACATCGCGTGGGAACGGTCTGCACGTCCTGACTTCTTTTTTGGTAAAGCGGAATGCAACGCGACCCAGCGGGGCCCACAAAAAGGGCAATTACTTGCTGGAAAAAATGGAAGAATGAGTGATTTGTTAATTATTTATCCCGTAAGGAATAGATTTAGCCCGAAAATTGATTGAGAAAACATGGTTGCGTAGCTGGGTTCGTTGCCGACATATAGGAAGAAGCGGAAATCAATTTCGAGCTTGGACGAGTCCGAAGGGGCCCAAACTGCAAAGTCGCACGAACCACGTTTAATGTGTAGGTCAAGAGCTTTGAAGAATATGATTTCAAGAAGAATTTGGTCATGCATGCATCATTAAATAGAGGGGTTTGTTAGCTACGTATAGGAAAAAACAGAACTCAATTCCGAGTTCAGATGAACCCAAACGAGCCCAAAACACAAAA